CCATTATTTTACTTTTATATTTAGTTCTTTAGTTTTTACTTTTACTTCAGTTAAGCCTAAGACGTGCTACTTCAAATATTATACTTTATTGAAAAATTATTTTAATTTGCGTTAGTTTTGAGAAAATAGATCACTATAATAGTACAAGCAATTTACAACATTTTTCGAAATTACTTCAGCAATTTGGATTTTAAATTTTGTTTATTTATATAATTTGTTCGCGAATTTAAAACATAAAATTAACTAACAATGGCGCTTACATATAGATATGAATACAAATCCGTATATATTCGTTAATTCAATTACATATCGATAAGTAATTTTATCATAAATACAATTTTTACGTTTTGTGTCCTGCCCTCTCGTACTTGAAACGATTATGCAGAGTGTCATTGCCTCTCGTACTAAACTAAGGCATTTAAAAGTGTTCAAACAGCTAATAAAATGTTTCATTTTTTTTTTGTTTTCAAAATCTATGTTATGTAAAATTTCAAAACAAATATAAGGTCTAATTAATTAAAAAAAGAGTGTGTGAAAGGTACACACGCGATTGAAGTAAAACTTTTTATACTCGTCTCGAATGATCGCATCGATAGCCAGTGACGAATCAGTATTTGTGGCGTAACGCAATTCCGTTGCATTTTTCTCGCACCTAAAGAAGTTTTACTTCAAAAACCTGAAAATTGCAAGAATGAAAGATATCACGTGACAAAACGATCTAGTCCAATCACATCAACTCGTATTTGTGTCTTTGTGGCATAACGCATTTCCGTTGCATTTTTGCTGAGTTACTCCCTAGTCGCGCCTAAAAGGCTTTTACTTCAAAAATTTGAAAATTGCCAGAATGAAAGAAATCACGTGACAAAACGATTTAGACCAGTCACATCAACTCGTATTTGTGACTTTGGGGCGTAACGCATTTCCGTTGCATTTTTCCTGAGTTACTCCCTAGTCGCGCATAAAGAAGTTTTACTTCAATAAAAACGATTATTTTATACTCATTCATTATCAATTTATACAGTTTTTATTGACAATGTCCCTACAAATTCAAGACAAAACATTTTGAGCAGCCTTGATCAAAAATAAAGATTCAGAAATATAATATGAAATTTAAATAAATATTCAGAGATATCTTATGAACCTATAGCATTATATTGTTTTTTTAGAAAATTTAATATTTTATTTTTTTTCAAATCTGCTAAGAATTGAACAAATGGGCATTTTTAGTTTTTTCAGAAAAAAAATGTCAAAAAATATAGAAGTATATCCTAATTATTTTACCCGAAAAATTGATATTACAATTTTTGCTTCCAATTAGCAAAAACATTTAAGACTCAAAACTAGTTTAATGACCTGGATATAATTTATGTTTATTTATATAAGATATAATTTACTTAATCAACATACTTCAGTAGTTAATAATTAATTATTATTTATATTAACACGTTAATCACCATGTCAGTCATACGTATCTGACACTAAGAAGTTCTACATGGTTTGTCTAGAAAAAAGGTATAAATATAATAAAATAATTAATAAACGGCCATATCAGTCATATATGCGTAACATAAAACAATAGTGTTTCACCAAGGAATTTTATCAAAAACAATTTTTATTTATATATTTTTAACTAAATTAACGTGTTAATGAACATTGATGGAATGTATATACTAAATATTGTTTATGGTATTGGACATTGAAATTAAGTTTGTAAATAAATGCTGAAATGTGAAAAAGTAGCAACATTAGCATATAATGCTTATGCCTTACTCAATGTACTATTTATTGTACAGGTGTGAAACGGAATGATTATATCAAAAATGTTTTATTGAAATGCATTTATATTAATTAAAATTTGTTTGCTTACCTTGTTCCAATTGAAAATCATGTTGCTTAACATATATAACATTAATGCTTTTTGTTGTATTTAAAAATGATAAAATGATCCTTCCTCCTGCAAGCAGAAGAGCAAAATGCCACTGTCTGCCAGATTTTGACATCAACATAAGGTGAGAAATATATTTCGAATATCGACATTAATTTCGATCTTGCATATTGCATATCTTTTTAATTTTGAATATTCTGTATAATAAATTATCACTAATCTTTTTGTACAAAAATAATATATAATAACCACAAATCTTATATAAGAAATTATAAATTCTTTTATCACATAAATTAAATATTGATAAAGAAATTGTAACAAAATTATAAAAAATAATATTGTAAATAAGTGAGATACATATATACATATATTCAAAAAATATGTAAAGAATTTGTAATTATTGTCTATATATATATAAATAATGTATAATGCAAATAATATATGAACAGTTATGTAATGTAGTTTTTTATTTTAACATTTTTACCAGTAAATATGATATTGAAAATATATGAAAAAATCATGAAATGTTTCAAATTTTCAAGATTTTAATATTTTAGGTTTGGTACACTTTCATGTGTTACGCTAATTGTGTTTAAACAAATTAGTTCCCACGTATCTATCTTTATCAATCAAGATATGGCTTGAAATTGGTAAAAAAAACGCACTAGGACATTTTGGACTAACTTTTACAACTGCATCCTCGCGTTGGATTGAATATATTAGTTATTATGTATATTCCGCGGATTATGTGTAGGTAAAAGTCATGCCGTGCGCTGCTCGGTCCTCCTGGTGTGCGTGTCAGCGTTCAGTTTCCATATTTTCGCCTGGATGGCGCTGAGCCGCTGCTTTAGAAAGTAAACGCGGACCTCCTCGTGATTCTCGGACCCGTGGGCAATTCTTAAGGCAGACATAGCAGTACGGTGGTTGTAATCGGTAATATAGAAACATTTTAACAGCTACATTACAGATAACGTCAAAATATCCTACAAATATAAGTTGAATTTTATACAATTTCTTCCTGCACTAATTTAAAATTAAAATGCATACTTAACACATTTAAATTATTCGAAATATATTTATATCTTTAAATATCATGGAAAAACAGCATAAAAAAAGGAGAAAATCAACCAGTTACAGAATAGAACAAAGAATTTCGATATCACCACGATATCACCTGCGTACTTTATGGTAGTTATTCTTCTTCCTCCAATTGAGAAATCTCCGTTGCCATAATCGGTGACATGTATCATACTTGCCGCACTCTACCTATTTCAACGTTGTTTATATCTCCCTGGTGCAATCGAACCTTCAGTTTCTGCCCCATATACAGATCTGGATCAGCCTGCGGTCTTTCCAATCGATGTGAATAGAATTTAAAATTACCATAAGTATACTCCAGTTTTCCACTTGACTCTATCAAAGGCGTTCTGCGAATATATGAAACAGCAAATGTCCTCATTCAAGTCGAGACATCTGTCGGTCATTCTTCTCAGTATCCCAATAAATATTGCAGAGTTCATACTAAGACATGATAAAAAGTATAAAATATTTTATACAATATATCTTTAAACGTTAAAATGCCGGATAATATGACGCCATATATCTTATACATACGTATTGTAAGGTCTATGGATGCCCACATGATATTTTTTATTAGTAGTTGCCAAAAAAACATAATAAAAAACAAAAGAAAGTATATTGTTGGACCTCCAAGCCGAAATTAAATAATTTTTTTGACAACTTGTAGAAGGTAAATGTCGTTTTTCATTGAATTACCGAAGTAGCAGCATCCATGAATCCCCATCTTGGTTGCTCACCTCATCGCAGTCACGATTCAGGAAAAACCAAGCGAGAAAGGCTCACCGACCTAAAAGCGATCGATCGGAACGTCAAATTCTATCTAACCACAACGCGTAAAAACGAAGAAGCTTGACAAAATCCTGAAATCAGTGGATTTTGCTTGAAATCAGTGGAGTAAATTCAAGTCCTACTTTCTTAAACTTTCCGAAATCCTATGCCTGATCTTAGAAAATTTGCAAATATTATCTACCAGAGAAGAGCCAGTAAACATTCGATCGATTTTCATAATCAGCATGGTGAAGGTAGTAAGGCTTTTGAACCAGCACCAATTATATCAATCGTCTTTATGTACATTCTAAATATGAAACAATGTGGAGTACTTGTACCATTGTACTTTTTAAATGTAATAGTTTTAAATTGTTTTCTTGCATTTATTTAAAAAAAATCGAAAACAATTTCAATAAAATAAAACAAGTATTTGAACTTTAAATAAAATTTATCTTTATTATTAGATATTGTATGTCTTGATATTAAGTACGCGGTAAAACTTTTACACTAAGTTTACCCCTCTACCAGATAGAGAAATTAACTTGTTATAAAAATGTTAAAAGGATAGTTTTATGCGCAAAGTATTGAATGTGTTACTTTTAAAACTATTTGATAGTGGTAAATCCAATTTTGTCGGAATGTATGTTTCGATTATAGAGCCGATTATGCCGTGAAATAGACCAATATTGTGTCAAGGCTATGTTACGTAGTGCTTCTCATATAAAATGGTACTAAATGTTTTTTTTTAGGTAAAGTTTGCTATTTGAAACGCCCGACTAGCAACCACATGGTATTTTGACCGTGTTTAGTACGATTTTGTATGAAAAGCGTTACGTAACAAAACCATGCCATAACATTTGTCTATTTTATGTAAGAATTAGCCCTTATATATTTAATGTAGGAATTGCGAACTCTATATCGTGTATGTCCGCCCTAAACCAGCGGCCACGTTGTTGCGACCGCCGCGTCCAGGTGCGCTGTATTGTCTATAGTCGAGCTTCGTACCTGCGCTTTTTTCTTGTGTAGTATTTATACCTATGTATCTTTGACCGAACCTGCACGAAGTCAATACCCAACGCGTACGCAATTGTTCGTGGCTTTCCGTCAGTTGAATAACGGGCTCTGCAAAGCCGCGATCAACAACAGGGCCAGTTGACGTCGCCTTCGCAGCCAGTGTTTTGCTCAGGTGTAAATAGCTAAATACACATATCAATTGTTATTGAACACTCGCTGATTCGATTACAGGAAGGATTTTATATGAAAAACATTTAGTGCGTAGTGTGTATTATGTGTGTTGATTGTTGAAAACGAAATTGGAAATTTTTCAAACAATTAAAAAGATTGTTTTTAAGTGATTTGTGTAAATTATATACCTGCTTGTCATTTGGATCTTAAACCAACAAAAAAGGTACCAGCAAATAAAAATATAACTTTAACATTAACCCATTTTTTAACACACAACGTATACTTAAGTATCTTATACATACAGGTGTATGAAGTAATAGTAATTTATACTAACAAACTGCCCAAGTACCATGATTTTACCAAGCACTTAGGCACTTCAGTTTATAGTGCTACTACTAGTACAACATTATTCTATTATAGTGCTACTATTAGTAGCTATTCTGTCATAACTTTTGATTTTAGTTTGTTTATCACCGGAATAACCTGTGTATGATAATTTAAGCATCTACGTCTTCTACCATCGAGTTATAAAATCAAAAACCTTGGCTAAACTTCATGCTTATAAAATTAGTGTTTAATAAATATCACATGTTAGTATACGCTGTCAAATTTTATATACACGTTTATATTACTATGTAAACTCGTATGTGGTTAAGTATCGCTTACATTGTATGCAACCTACTATGCCACTTGTTGGAGCTTGTAAAGAATTTTATGTTAGAAATTCTTAGAAACTTTAAATTTAAAAAATCTGAGATTTTTTATGCGTTTTGAGCATTTAAATTTAAGATAATAAAGTCATTGTAAGTGTTTATTTTATTTTTGCAAAAAGGACATAAAATAAATTACTGTTAATGCTAATAATTGATTATAAGTTTTAATGGATATAAATGAATAAATGTAATTATTTTGCGTTTAGTGTTCTGTTTTCGAAGCTTTTAAATACATAAAATTATTAACAATAATGAATTATATCATGAAGTTTGTGCTTACTTAATTTAATCTTCTAAAAATTATTCAATTTTTGTGATGATTCGCAATGAGGAACAATCAAATTTTCTTTCCACTGAAACACAGCATCATATTTATTTTATGAAGTTGTGGAGATATCAATGACAGTATTGAAACTTAACCTGAACAGGTGTATTCGTATGAGTAAAAATTCTCCACACGTAGCGGTTTTGTTTATCCCATAATTGTATATATATATATATATATATATATATATATATATATATTCAGTTATATTAAAAATGATGTATTTCTTGTCAACGTGTATACACAGTGAAGAAGAGTCGTATAAAATCTTGAAAGCATTTTTAGTGGGTGACCTCATACAACTGACATTACCAATGTCAGCACGTTCAAAAGCATTCACAGATTGCGCATTATGTATTAGAAAAAAGCAAATCGCAGTTTTTCAATAATTTTATACTTTTTTTTAAATTTGAAGATCTTACGTCTTTCAAATGTCATTGGCAACGTTCAATAAAGTCTTGTGTTTTGAGATCAGAATAATTTATTTTAGCACTCGTAATAAGTGTATTTATATAGACAATTTTGTAAGTTTATCTAGTATTACCGACGTGATTCAAAATTTTGTGCTTCAGGATTTCGTACCATTAAAACCGTTTTTGCTTAAATAAAATGCTGTTCTCTATATCCATGTCTAGAAACATAAGATGCGTGCGCATGGTTATGTTTGCATATATTGAATGACAAAAAATGCTTAAAAATTCACATTACGTCCAGAAATAAAATAAAATGAACTTATATAGCTAGAAAATATGTTTCGCTGTAAACTAAACTTTTTAGAACATTTTGGAAAAAATTCATATTGGAAAAAAATTCATATTGGAAAAAATTTCCTGCAAAAAGTATGAACAAAGCGTTAAGAAATATTTTTTTCATAATTTAACTTTATTTAATTAAAAAACGACAATTATGGGGTTGCCCAAATAATTCGAGTGCGGAACCCAAAACCACATTACCGCTATATGTATAGGATAGAATATGTTATGTTACTAAAATAAATATGATGCTCTATATTATGTATACACACATAATTGTACCACAGTAAATTATAATGAACTAGTGTTCCAAATTCTATGTTAATAACTATCTAAGTATCTTGTAAAAAAGCGCGATGCACAATATGTACTTAAACAATTCTATTTACAATAAAAATAGATTCAACTGGCATTTACATGCTATACGGTGTTTACATATGTGAAACAAGTTTAAGATGCAAGGTTTGCGGAAGATGTTATTAATTTAAATGTACTTGGCTATTGTAATTTAAAAATTCAAATTTTGGAACCATGTCACCTGTATGGGAAAAAGCAAGTGCATGGTCAAAGTAAATTGTACCTTTTTTGAAAAATTGATACAGAAGCTCATAAAATAGCACAAATAATTATTTTAAGCTGAACCTAATCGTGTGTGTTAATAAATATCTCTTAATGTTTTTATTGCGATCAGGAAATGATTATTATACAAATAAACCGTGAAAAACTCATACGACAAAGAATTGACTCAATAAACGAGGTGGAGATTTCGGGCTTATATAAAGATAATCCACGCCATATGATTTTATTATATACTTTTGCCATGATTTTCGAAATTTACCTAGAATTTCTAGTTTTGTTTACCAAATTGTTTCAATTACTCTCATTTAAAATAGCTGCATTTTTGTCCGTCTTTACACGAGCATTAGTCGAATCTTTGTATTGCTTGTACGCCAATGAATAGTAAATATAAACACGAAAATTCCTAATTAGGAATATATTAATATTTTAAATAAACATTTGAACATCATATTGATTTATTTAATCCATTTAATAAAAACTCAAAGCACTGAATACAAATCGAAGTTTTAAAATATGCGTAGAGCAATAGCAACTATTACATTTAATTTTTCCCTCGCACAGCCGCATAAATCTAAAACCGGTGTTCTGTAAAAATCTCATTATATAAGCGGTTTCAATCTAGTTCTGCCGTATATGAATAGAAAAGATATTACAAATTCTTGTACTATACGACAGGGATTGAAAACTCTGAAAACGGAAAAATTTTACAATAACTCTATTAAGGTAAATCAAAGTATTGAGCAAGAATAGGCAACAGTAACTTATGATTGTCTCACTTTGCAAATTGTTTTTCAGTAAAAATGTAAGAAAATATCGATAAGAATAATAAAGTCTTGTATATATAGGGAATCACAAATCAGCGAATAACTATTGCCTCACACCTTTATGTTGCCTACATAGAGTACAAAAATTTAACTTTTTAAAAAACTTCAAATAATATATTTTTCAAATTTTCAATACCAATTACGAATTGATCATGATTATTTAATACTTTATATATAACATTTTATTAAAAATGGAATTGTTCCAGAAATATGCCACAAGGCACAATGTAATGCGTATCACGACTAAACAATCAAATTGATTGATGTATTATTATTTTAAATAAACGTTATTAATAACTTTGTTCACACCATATCAAAAATACAATTTGTAGTTATATTAGAAATAAACACGTAATTAATATTACAATTAAAGTGTTTTAAAACAATAATTGGCCCTTCAAAAAATCAAATCAAACAAACAAACTTTATTAACATTGCATTAAAATAGTATAGTTAGATAAAAGTATTAGATTATACAGTACATTTTTATTTTAACATCATATTAAATTACTTAATACATTTAATGAAAATTTAAAGCACTGGGTACAAATCCATTATTTCGAACATGTTGAAGAAAAATTGTTTACAATATATGCAGATATAAAAATATTTTTTTTGAATATCGAAAATAATTCGGATTTTAATTTTGATTCTATGTTAAATTCTAAGTTTCTTCATTCAAACTCCGTTTCATTAAGTTTTGTTTATTTCTTTTCATGCAAACATATATGAAGCTTCCGATTTATAAGCTCGTATATTTTGTCTATAAAATACGAACAATAAAAGTTACAGTATTTATAATACACATATTTGAAAACATTTAATATTCTTCGAGTATATCATTACGATACGAGAAGTTCTAGCAATTTGCCTTAAGGTACGATACCATACACCACTAGTTACATATAAAATTACAAAATTTATATTTTCAGATATTCTTTGATTCACCGAGCTTAAAAGTTTGACTTATAATCTTTTACACTCGTGTAATAGGTTGCCAATTCAGGCAATACGCCATAGGCTATCATTGCACACATAATGTTTTTGAGTATTTAATTTTAATGAATGTAATAAACATAAAATGACAAGTGTATGTCAGATTATTTCATAAGTATTATATGTGCAGAATTATCGCACGCGCTTGTGAAATGCGATTGTGCGCTTAAAAATTCACATTACGTCTAGAAATAAAATAAAGAAAACTCAAGTAGCTAGAAAAAAATTCCGGTGTAAACTAATTTTTTTAGAGCATATTGGGAAAAAAATCGTCTGGCAGAACATTGAAAAGTAAAATGCCTTTTCTCTTGCTTATTTATGTCCGTATACCTTCATTATGTAGCCCTACAAAAAGTATGAATAACGCATTAGGAAATAATTCATAATTTAATTTTCATTTTAGTATCTACCATATTTGTTGATTTAAAAATAACCATATACCACAATAAGTTAACTATATACTAAATAAGTTATACCACAAACTAACTTTGAAAGCTCGGTAAAGAGAAAAGCGCATGAAGCCCATCATGCGCATGAATGGGCCCTTATATTACTTAATTTATGGAATTATACAATTTTTTCTGAATTATACCACAATATCCTCAAATAACTAGCTTGTTATCAAAATAATCCAAAAATTATAAAATAGTCATTTCCTGTTGACAACTACTCTGCAGACTAAATAGGGGCCGTTCAAGTATTACGTAAGCACTATAGGGGGCGGGGAGGATACTGATTTGCTTATTTTGCTTATTTTCGGTAAGAAATTTGCTTACTTTTGCTGACAAAGGGGAGGGGGGGGGTAAATAATTGTAATAAATCTGCTTACGTAATACTTGAACGTCCCATATAGTCATATTATTGGTATTTTTCTTGTCATAGAACTGCAATAAAAATGTGTAAAATAAAATATGTATACTATTTGCATCATCTACCATCATCTAATAATTTATTGTCAGCATATAATTTTAAACTTATTTCTATGAAAATATTAAATACCTCTATGTCTCAATGGAAAGGCTACGTTTGAATTT